CACCCAGTGAAATCGAAAGTCAGGCGCGAGGAAGTTCGAAGACATATTTGATAGGTTATCAAAACATTAAGAAGCGACTGATCTAAACTGGCTATCGGTTGAGGAGAAGTTGAGCACGGCGTTCCCACTCGCGATCTAGTGCCAATGCGTGACGGAGCACCTTCAGATACGTGGGTCCATTAAAACTAGTGTAGTCATGTTACGTCCTTGATCTGTCTACCCACTTTTGGTGCTGAGGATCACTTGTCTAATCTAGATTAAGACATTGAAGCGATAGGGTGACTGGCTTAACATTGAGGCTAGCACGCGTGAGTTCGAAGTGGGGTAGAGAGACTGAAGATGGTACAGGTATTCAGTGTTTGGCAACGCTTCTTCCAGTAACACCTAATATAATTCGTAACCATCCAGAGAAATCAAAATACAGAGTCGAGGAGATCGGAAGAGTATATTTGGCGATGACCAATATATCGGAATTCTCTGATCTAATCTGGCTAGCGATTGTGGTAGATGTTGAGCACGGCGTTACCACACGTGATCTGGTGCGGATGCATGGCCGAGTGCATTCAGCTATATGAGTCCACTAAAACATATGGTCAGCATGCAATGTCGAAAACTTACAGGGCTATTTATTTTGGGGATTTATTTACCGCTACAAGACGAAAACTATTCTATCACTTGATTGGCTTACAGGAGCGCGAGTGAGAGAAGACAAGCCGACTGGAACACTAGTCGATTTATTCTCAATTCCGATCTGGTCCCCGACTTCCCGATTGATGTAGAAAAAGTACATGAATAAAAGATGGCTAACGCAACAACGATGTACAATAATTAGGAAAATTCAATTACGTCCAAAACTAGGGATTAGTGTAAAAAAATATAGTACAAAATATTATGTTTAAATTACAAAAGCTTTGGAACAAAAAGGGCTATGGTAGTTAACCGTAAATCAAACAAAAGTTCATATTGTATAGAATAGACTAGGGACAAAAATAAATGTTAATGTTTTACAATCTTCGAATTAACTGAAATAATGTTCTAAAAAATAGTTTCTGTAGTTTGTCAGGGATTCTTATTTCTCTGTTCACATCAGATGTTGAAGACATACACAGCTACTGATTTTAAGGATTTACTTACCGCTACAAGATTGTCAACATCGTACGGAATCCTTGCGATGGACTACACTGCAAAGTCTTGGATGGTTGGTTGCTAACAGAATTATACTAAGTAAGACCGGTGTCAGACAAGGTTGCTTACCTCTTTCTCCTGGTGGTCGACTGGATTATGAAGACCTACACATCTGAGGGGAAGCACGCAATTCAGTGGACAGTTCAAAACCAATTAGACGATTTGGTCTTCGCAGATGACCTAACCCTCCTATTCCATACACACGAACTAGTGTAGAAGCAGCCTCTGCATCAGTAGGCCTCAGTATACACAAGGGAAGAAGTAAGGTCCTCAAATACAACAAGGAGAACACCAACCCAATCACATTTGATGGAGAAACTCTGGAAGATGTGGAATCTTTCACGTACCTGGGAAGCATCATTGATGAACAAGGAGGACCCGATGCAGACGTGAAGGCAAGGATTGGCAAAGCAAGAACAGCATTCCTACAGCTGAAGAACATATGGAACTCAAAACAACTGTCAACCAATATCAAAGTCAGAATGCTCAATACGAACGTCAAGACAGTTCTACTGTACGGAGCTGGAACTTGTAGAACTACCACAAACATCATCAAAAATGTGCAAGTATTTATAAACAATTGTTTATGCAAGACACTCAATGTGCGTTGGTTGGATGTCAACCTGAATTTTACTGGATGGACAAAAGGAATTATTGGACGTTTCCTCAAAGCACAGCTCAATAATGTAGAGGTTAAAAGTGCATTTCGGTGCCAACTAACTAGTCATGAAGTTAATGTTCATCCAGAAGAGGCCTGGGATCACATGCATACATCTGGGGATACATTAGTAACATCATTCAGTAAATTAAAACAGGTAGTTAGAAATGACGTGTAGATTTTAGTAGTATTCGCCGAATTTGAAAGAGCTCGTAAATCCATTCCATCTAATTATAAACACGACAGAAGAGAAGACAACTTAATCGTAAACTGACAAAAGGCCTAAGAAATGATTGTGATCACCGAAATTGAAAGAGATGGGAAAGTTATCAGTGGTAAAAACACTAGACATTTATTCAGACTTTTTGAAGAATCAGGTACAGAAAAGTCTTCTGTTAGTGAGACTATCTCCGAAAAGATGGAACTATGATTCACTCAGCTAATGTGAATGATAGGTGAGGAAAATGGATAGGATATTCCTGTGGTATTTGCATGAACTAATGACTCTCGTGTACTAGATTCCCTTCAAATACAATACTCTTGTTTGTGCCAACCTATTTTCACTGGCTTTAAATTTCAGTATTGCGGGAATCCTTAGTTAGCACAATAATCCGAAAACTCCCAATTTTCATAATTTCCCAGAACAGAGTGCCATGGAGAAAGCTAGTAGAAGGCCTATGCTCCTCCATAAGGGGCAACAGGAGTACGTAATTGAGTCAGTGTTTCAAGAACTTTATAATCGACTTGTTTTGATCACTGCACAGCAAGACGCACCCAGTAGTTATCTGGTGCAGATGCTTAACCGGACGCTCTGATTTAAGTGTTCCCAGCAAAATTAGTGAGGTCAGTATCGTTGTCAAAGTCTTACAGAACAATTCATTTTAGGGATTTATTTCCCTTTACAGGTTCGTATTCTTTGAAACGGTTCTATTAGCTGTGTGAAGGAAACAAACACCGGAACAGTTTGTATATTGTGTAACTATTGCCAGCTCTTTATATAAGGTCTGGTTCATTTGTATCTCCCCTTTCCCAGCTAACGCTAAGATTAGGCAGCATAGGAAACACGTTACAACGGATACTCAATCTTATCACGTACATTGTGTCATACATGGTAATTAGTTTTTGTTATTAATAGCGTTTTTTACAGAAGGCTTTGTACTGTCCAGTACTATGTCAAAACCATATAGGTTGTCCCGGTATCTGGACAGACTAATTTATTCATTGTTCTCAAGCCACATTTTGAACTTATTGAATATTCGTTTATTAACCCTTACTGTTTTTATATGATCGTATGTTATTTATTTGACCATAACAACAATGGTACGGAGTCAACAAATACACATGCCCCACACAATAACCATGAGGCCAGTAGTAGTCATCACTGATTTGTGTGAGGGCTGTGATATTGTCAGAGCGCCCGAACCTCGACCTTTTGACCTGAAGGTATAATCCACAAGGCAGTGGAACAACATAAGAAGATGCAGTCCCAAGGTAGCCGGTGACCTATAATAGGTTTGTACGCCATTTATTCACTCAGGATCCTGGAACCCATATGCACCATTGGTCAATTGCTTACTCTATTCATTACGAGCCTGTAACTTATTTTCGGTCTGACTATAAATATTAAGTTATATTTGGTCGAATCAAATTGGCTCACAGGCCTTCTCCACTAATCGTCATTTCGTTTCGCTCTTTTCTTCGTTTCTCTGGATCAACGATTGTATGAAATACATGTATTCGAAATCTATTATTGTATTTGAATTATTTAATTGTTATTCACTAACGACAGTTAAGTCGATAATTACATACGAGGATTGACGGCATGTATGTCTCGATAGCAATTATTTATACAATCCAAATGGAGTCAGATATATGGCCACTAAAAAGCATTCTATCATGATATTGAGATTATAATAGTTGGTGCTAAATCGAACGTTTCCCCGCTGCCGGGTAACAGAGAAATGTGGTAAAAAGAAGCAGAGCAAGCCTCGTACGGATTAAATATACGAGATGATATACAAAACCAATTTGAAAAGACGTCTGTACCGACGTAATTATCTTTTCGATGGTACCTCATTTCAAGACACCCTGTAAGCAAACAACGCTCAGAAAGCATTGAGTGATTCATCCTATAGGAGTCTTCAAGTGTTTTCGACCACCTAACACCTGTATATAGAAGTGGGTTGACCAAAATCACACTGCCATAACAACTGCATCTCATTATTACTTTATCACTGATTTTGCAACACCCATAACTTTTCCAATTGCGCGATTTGTTACCTCAAACCCTCGGTTGTTATTGGTTACACAATTACTCTCCCCATTATTATTTCCTCAAGTCTCACTTCACTAATGTACTGTCAAAATTTTCATCTGCCAAAACATACTGATTTACATTTTATTTATTAACCTACTGATGTGATGCGCATTCCGAGTGCTGCTTTTAATCTAAACATATTTATGCGATTATCAACTTTAACAGCAGTTGTATTTTTATTCTCTTTCAAACGGGTGACAAGTCATGAGTGGAAATCAGTTCAGTTCATTTTACAATTTATGTTGGCTTTAGGTTACAATTCCCCTCAAATACTAGCCATTGGAATATATTTCAAAGCTCTTATCGAACTTTCGATCCATTTTTATCTTATTTCTCAAGAATTGTTCATCTTTCTTAATTTTCATACAATTAACTGTTAGAAAAATGTATTAGGCAAATCCATTCCAATGTACAGATTAAATAATGTTATTTAGCCCACGTTTCTCATAAAGTCTGAACAGCTGGATAGATTCCTCATTTTGAAAGTTCAGGAACTTTTATTTTGGTTTACTAACTTTCCTCAAGTTTAACAACAAATAATTCCTACACTTAGGCGATTATTAGGATTCACTGAGATATTTAGTCGAGCATAATTTCAAGTAGTCTACAGACAACTAATGAAGAACAGAATTAGCTATTGATAGCACACATCAAAATAATAAGCAAGACAAAACACACTAGGTTTGAAATAGCGTGTGCCTACCTTAAATTTAGCCCGTCGGATACTTCACAACCTGAATGTACTTCTGATCATCCGTTTATATTCTTTATGCAAGAGTTAAGTTTATGATAGAAAAAATAGTAACTTCTTGAAACTACTACGGAGCTTTTAGAAATATATGTGTTAAGAAGTCTTTATTAGTACAAAACTTTATCTTGTACATTTTTCTTTTACACCCATTTGGTTATAATATAGTGTGCATACCATCAGTTGAGGTCACAGTACTTAACCTATGTTAAAAGCATGACGTATTGTACTTTTTACTGTCGTTTATCGGGATGATATTTACCGTTCAACTGAAAACTTATATATAACAGAAAATGAACTATCTTATCAATCATATGTGGACAACAAATTACAATTTATCAGTGTACAAGAAATAATCTGCGGCCATAACAGTAATACATACAATTTTTCATCATACACATAAAATCTCAACCTAATGTTTTTACACGAAAATCTGAATCGTGTTAAGATTTGAATCAAGTTGTAGTTTAAATTGATGATTCCTTTGAATTTTCCTCCATCTCCAATTACCATCAATCTTTCAGTGATAAAACTCTACCAGTAACCGTTAAATTACAAGTTAAGTATCTTGAAAAATATCACAGTCAACTCAAGTGATCACATAAAGTTCTAGTTAAAGCATGTGTGCTTTAACTGAAAATTTTATGTGTAAACTAAAGTACATTATAGAGAACAAATCACAGAGATTAAGAGAAAATGTTCGAAAAAACAAAACTGGAATAATTAACATACTATTGTGTTAAAATATAACCAGTTTTAGAGCCAATTATTAAGGGACAGTGAAAAGGGATAGAAAAGTGTAAGAAAGGTAAACAAGAATACATATACAAAAGAAAATCACAACTGACCATTACTAACAATATGGGCCAATGATTTTGTTCGTTGACCTTCAGACTGGATAAGTGTTTTCCCAACTTCTTCAATTAAACAATCAGTTTCTGTTATATCAGTGCTCGAACCAACATTTCGTATCATAAGTGGACTTGGATCTGTGTTGATAACATCGAGGGGGCTCTTAACACCGTTACTATTAGCACTAACTGGGTAACTTTTAGCTGTTAAATTTGCATACTGTTCGGCTTGCTCCATTGTAATAGTCAATTTCGCTAATGTAGCTTTGTATCTAAGTACTTCATCAAACATACGACAACGTTTGCGTAAAACGCTGAGTTCCGAGTCCCGGTTGAGTAAATCACGTTCTAAACGTTGGAGTTTTACATTTTGTTTAAATATTAATTCATTAAGATTGTTTACTTCTGTTTCACGTTTTACATGTACTTCCTAAAATTGAAGACAAAATGGTTAGAAATTCAAGTAACAACCATCAGATAAAGTGTGCTTAATGCTACGGGAGGTCGTTGTTTAGCACATATATAAGTGATAATTCAAGTTTAAAATACTGCTAAGTTTTAAATCAATATATTATTGCTAAAATGATTGCCAAGATTTTAGAAGTTCGGATTTCAATCAAGAGTAAAGATTCTCTTTTAAAGTGTTAAGTCACGTAGCTTTGAAATATTTTTCCATATAAGATTGTTTCATAACCTTAGCACAACTGTCATGGAAGATGCAAAACTAAACTAAAATGAATTCCAACACGAATGACAGAGGGGAATACCCCCAGAGATAACAAGTTTAGATATTTCATAAGAAAAACCAACAATACCTTTAAAAACTACTAGATTTACTTAGGCTACTGACAAGCAAACTATGAAATATTTACGTGTATGGTGGCTAAAGATGATTAACCAATTAATACAAATCTAAATAAATGCCATATTTCCCCACGAATCACTAACCCTTTGAAGTGGATTGTTGAAAAATAAGGGTTTACCACGCCATATAAAAACACTAATATCCAGTAAAACGATGATCAAATATGAACGAAGTCAAATTAAGCCTTATTGTACACAACCTATTGTGCTGCAAAGCATATATTCCTATCGTAAATCATATTTATTAAATGACCACATCATTGTTTTAGGGTGTGAATTACAACTCCACTGACTAAATCTTTAAATCACTAGTAATGTACGTTGTTTAGTGGTAGTCATTTAAAGTGTATAGTTTGATTCAAAAATTCGAACTCCTACTACATAGCCCTTCGGTCACAAGTATCATCACTAGTTCAGCTGTGTTAAATAGGACTCCACAAATAAATCGGTCAGTGAGAAGTAATCAATTTTATCTGGTCATTATTACTGATGCAGACACTATACTACCTGGAGAACTTTATTTATTATTAGACTTCTGGTCGCTTTCATTTACAATGTTGGGTTAGTGGTTAGAACATTTGGAGTTTAACTAGTAAATCTAAAATATGAATTTTACCCCACTTAATTCAGTATGGATAGATTGGTAATAATGAGACTTCACAAGTTGATCCCAACCTGTACTCGACAAATGAGTCGTACTATTTAATCATTGTATTATTATCTACTATTGAATAACCGACTGATTTGACAAGACTCTACTGATTTGTGATGACCAAAAATGAGCATGAAATATTCACCTAGATATGTTATAATGAACCATAATACCTGCATAACTATGTTGAAGTCTTCTTCCTTTTTGTTTAACTCTTCCTCCTTAGTTTTGAGTTGTATTTCCAGTTCCTTAATCCTAGTTGTTAAAGCGTTGAGATGACGATTAGCTTCCTCAATGTGTGTTTTAGGCTGTGTACCATTGAACCACATCTAAAATAGAAGTATCTTTTAAAAAAGACAGAAAATTATAGCATACTGTACGCAATACACCCAAGCCTATTTTATGAAGCAGACAACAGTCAACCAGATGAATACATGGGATGTATATACAATTTTTAATGAATAGATGAAAGAGTTTGAAAAATTCAGCCGTCATAAAATAAATGAACGGGTTTTTACATTGAAGTTCGGACCGCTAAGAGGGAACTAATTTGATGAAACGATCAGTTTATTATTATTTCCATTAGCATTAACTCATAAAAGCTATGAATTTCATTGAAATCACGAACCGATCTAAGTTAGGTCATCGTTGAAAACCTGGAAGCACTGGACGTTTGTTTTGTTCTGGTCTGGGACTTCCCAGGAGTGTTTACCAACGGACCCACACGTGGGCGTCGAATCCAGGATCTTGGGTTTCGTGTGTAGACACATCTAACCGCTAGACTGCTGAGTCGACATCCAAAGGTGTCAATGTCCTGCTGGCAACTATGACTGACTTCGAAGCCAATACACACTGGATTCATATATCAAGGAAACACAGCACAAGAGTTTCGAGCTCCCGTTTCTATGTTGAATAACAGATTTAATCTTTTATTGGCAAAAGCCTAAGAAGGTGATAGTTGAATAACACAATAAACGACATATTAGGCCCGAACATTTTTACATGGGAGTAGTAATTCAGAAATTTTAGCTTGCAGTCTTCCATAGTATGACAATATGTAATTGATTATTTGGAAGCGTTTGATTTGTCTATAGTGGAGGTCATTCTAGACGACTGATGACATTAATGTGTTGTTTCAGACCACCTACATTCATTACATAGGCTAGAACTAACAAAGAGCTAAACACACCTATTCTCAACGGTTACACCTCATAGGACATTAAACGCACTAATATGGTAAAATAAATTTAGGAATTAGATTAGATAATGATCTAGAGATCAAGAAGAGCGCGGGAGGTGGCATCAGATGTAAATCCAGCTAGTAACAAAGGGTAAGATACATAAATTGTATGAAGGAATAGGAGGGAAAAAAGTTGTGACTATTTGGTTCTGTAAACTCGAGTGCTTTTACATAATTATATTATATTATTATATTAGACGCAGGGTATTAGGGAATGGTGGTAAATCAGTTGATGAGGTTGTGAATCTTCATCGACTGAGATGGTTGGGCCACGTGTTACGCATGCTTGAACACCGATTAACATAAAACGTAATGCTGACTGGTGTTGGGGATGGTTGGAAGAAAGTTAGGGACGGCCAAACCAAAACGTGGCATCAGTGCTTGAAGTCACTAACTTCTAGTCTGAGCCATGTTGGTAGATGCAGGCTACTTGGTTGGGGTCCGCGTGACTATCGTAACCAATGGTTGGAGACTCTTGGTGACATGACTCAGAATCGTTCGCAGTGGCGTAGCTGTATACATTCTTTGTCTTCCCTTAAACTAAGAGATTAAAACCGCCTCATATCTTTCTTCCTACGAACAAATTCTTTCTTCCTGTACTGTCTTTATTTGCAATCTTTCATTTATACATTACTACTGCTGGTTTAGCTACTACGAATTCGGTGTTAATCTTGTTGTGCTAATGAGGTTTGACAACTTGGACCGATGCATATATGTGCCTGGTCCTACGTTGTAGCTGACTAACTGACTGACTGATATTCGGCTCAAAAAAGTTAGTGAACTAGTTTAATGATGAAACTCTTAGCTGGATTAGTTAACTACGAGAAACCCAACGAACCTGTATTACATCTCAAAGCCGGTAAATCTCAGAAGCTATGTGAAACCGAGCATTAGATGTATCAAGTAGTTATAACTGATATATGAAGGTTCATTAGTTTGCTCTATATGAGTTATATTGTTGAGGACAGGGCCAATTAGAGAAAGCTAAGCAGTGACTAAGCAAAACGACGGAGTTAGTATACGTTAGGAAAACAGCGTAAAATATCCGCATAAAATTGCCCGATATTCTTAGAAATGATTCTTGAATTGGAATAATTACAAATGCATATAAACAAAAACGACTCAGCAGGAAAATTTATCAGCAAAATGGATTCTTAGTGGGGATACTTATTTTGTGACTTCAAACTGGGATTTTCGGAACGTTGTCTCAAACGTTTCGGCCACGGCTTCCTCACCAGACCATTTTAAGTGCATTTTACATAGTAACTAACAAGTTTATAAACGTCGCCCCAACAAATCCAATAAATTAGTCACCAGATCCGCTTGTTTTACGCATACATTTTTTCCATCTTCATGCCTTGTTTTATCTACTCAATGAATCAATTTTAGCCTATTCCTTTGTAATTTCCCTCAATCCCCTCCATCAACACGCTAAATTTGTAAATGGGATCAACCTGAAGTCTAGAGATATGAGAGCTGCTGGTTTAAACATTGCAAGATAGAGAAAAATTAAATACCCACCAGGCTTACGAGGCCAGTAAGACAGCTTTTTGTTGTAAAAACGGCAGAAAACAAGAATTAGATGAACGTAACATATTAATGTAATGCACAAATACTTGAAAGCAAAGCAAACGTTCTTGTGATTTGAAGCCATAGAAGCATCATGTTAAATACTAATGAAAGTAGGAACGACAAACTTTACTAATTTAAAGTAAAACTAAAACTTGAATGTATGTATCTACATATTCTGAAACAAACAAAACAGACAATACTTCTTTACAGACGACTTCGAAAGTAGCGCAGTAACCAGAATCACCGCGTCATTAAATGATCCAAATGTTAATGCATAGAGTAGAAATAGTTTTAACTTTACGAACTTAAATGTCTTGTTACGGTGAATCGCTGTATTTTTGATACAGGAACCTAGGTATATTTAATCAGTGACACAGAATGATGAGCAAATTAGGATTTTGTTCTGAGTCCTTACTATACATCAAGGCATGAAATATAAGTTACTCTAGTTTAAATTGTCGTTTTTTGGTACTATTCTGAGCGGCTTAGTTCGCTCCATGGATTTTCAACTCAGAAGCACGTTCTGGGTTAAAAGAAAGTCACATGTTGTCGGTTGTAGCGGTAATTAAATCCCCGAAAACAATAGTACTCTAAGTCTTCGACACTGGATGCTGACTTCGTTAGTCTTAATAAATTTACCGAGCAGAAAATGCTCTGTCATGCATCCGCACCAATTCAAAAGTGAGTAAGTCGTGCTCAACCTCTCCTGCAACCACTAACTAGCTTAGATTAGTCAATTTCGATAAACCTATATTTTATCAAGTATATCTTCCAGCCTCTTTGCTTCTGACTTCTGATTTCACTAGGTTGGAACGTTTCGATAATAAAAATCTTTACCAGTTAAGGTGTTTTCAGACTTAAATACCTGTGGCACCTCTATGATCTTGTCACGACACTGTAAGAATGTTAACTTATATGTAACCAAGTACGTTGAATTATCTGGAATGTATGTCAATTCTACGAGTTGCTTCATATAACATTGATAATACGAAATGGTCTTTCACGATGGTCCCCAAGCATTCCTCACGATTGTCGTTCCGTGTAGTAGAAGATTATCTCTTGAGGAGAAGCATCACTGCAACGGCAAATTCAAGTTGGATGTGGTTGAAATGTGAAGAGTGTGTTTGATGAACAAACCCCCTGTCAGCGATGTAGGAAACCTGAAGTTTAACTCGCTAAACGTTTGCTCAAACACTTGATTCCGGTTTAGATCAATCAAAAAATGCCTCCTCTGGTAGTATCTTCATTCTCTCAATTTGTGCAGTAGTTTGCTTTCAGTTGTTATTTCACCTTTATCTTATCCCTGGTTCATTAGAACTTGATGAACAATATAGGAAACGCTACCAGTACTCAAAATAACTAACTCTCTAATCTCATGAGATCCAAATAGCTCAACAAGAAAATATTATTTTCATCACCAACACCATTTCTCGTGGTTTTTGCCTAATATAGAATACCATGTCGTGATATCCAGAGACTATGACCATTCCGACTACTATATGGAACAATCATGATTGTAAAAATGAAATTTCATGGTGAGACTAGAATAGTACAGAGTTCATGACGTGCAACTCGTGATTTCTTAGAGGTTATACTAGATCTTAAAAATGTTGAAGGACTCTTTGACGATTAACCATCTGTCGTCGAAAGTATAAAATAGTTATACATGATGGATGACTTTATTGCGTGTTTGTTTCACTTTTTAAGGACTATGGCATCTAGTGAGGAATATCCTTCGCCATCAGGAAATCTACCACTTCAGTCGTCGGCTAAACGGATTTCCAAAGCTCGTAAATCTTGTTCTGGAGATCACCAAAATTGCAGTCCGGTTAGAAAAAATCATATTGACGACTCAAACAGCATTATCGTGACTCCTTCCATTGATAGTCGAGAACTTGATCGTCTAAAATTCACTAACCCAGGTAGACAGATGGAAGAACTAGAAGTCGGTTGGTCCGAAGCAAATATGACACGGAGTGTTCGCAGACAAATGACCGTTAAATCTGGTCACAAATCATCAGAGTAAATTAATGTCTTATGATAGTCAATTTCCATTGTAATTCTGAGCCACTAACAGTTTTATTTTTTTTTAGCTTCAGGATGTGTTGTTGTATACATTTGATTGGCATAAACGTTTTATAAATTTAAAACAATTAGTCCCTTTGATAAATTTCGATAATGCAATGAGAAGACGTAGTTTATCAGAATTATGTGATATACTTGCGCAATACATTTCAAACAATCTGATCACACACAAATTTTTCTAAACATTCTACACTTGTGTTTGTATGACTACCCCATAACAAGAATGAGGGAAATTATATTATTCATTTGAAGACCATTTAAGTCATCCAATATCCTTCAATATCTGGATACTTTATTATTGGACAATCGTCTTCTGGTTATTGTACAACACTTTAAAATACAATATTTTTGGTTTTCTTCATTCATCATGAATCAATTCATTGTTTTCGAATTATGCTCTTTGAAAATATCGCTTTATAAACCCAAGTGTTTTGAATTTTGCATTTCTGGAAATCTAGTTGTATGTACTATGAGTCGGCTACTGTTTAATCAAATGAATGTCAATGCAGTGACTAGGTAGATAATCTACCGGGTCTGGGATCCGTTGTTTGTTGAACTATTTCGTCCTCATATTTCATCAGTTGGTTGCTAACTCGTTCTTTTCTTATTGGCCGATGTGATTGCAACTGTCCGAGAAAACTGTATTGGTCATTCTGGCATTTGTTCGCGCTCAATATTAACTGTTGTTAGTGGTTTTATCTCCGTAAATTATTGTTGGGTTCACTCGGATAATGCACACAAGAGCGATTGGAGTCAGACTGTCTTATCTCCAGATTTTTCAAAATATTACTTACGTGTATTTTACTAAATTTAAATTCAAGGAAGTGTTCAGCATAAAACAACATTCCACTGGTCGACCTTTTCTCCGACATGTTATCCAAATGTCATACCTCCACAACTATTGCGAAAAGGATTTCGACCACTCTTCGTGTCACTGTATTCACACTGACTTCCACCGTATCCTCCAGAAGTCATGTTTCCCTGCTCACCATGTCCAAGTTCACCGAAACCGCCCTGTGCAGTTTAATTTATGCCTCTACATTTCCGTTTCTTGAATGCACTATATCCGCCTTGACTAATTTAACCTCCGTTTACAGAACCACTATAACCTCATGCAGGACCCAAAATACCATTATGACTAACACAGGCCACTGGTTACAAAAATGGACGGCCGATCATTTCTCGTTAATCATATTCGAGAGGTGCGTTTCCACTTGTTCCATCATTGGAACGAGGTCCTCGATCACGAATTTGAGGATGTGCCCACTACTCATGGTTCCCATGTCCTTTAGCTTTCCTTCAACGTAAGTTTGTCAGATTGAATCTAAAATTTATCCTCATCAGATTTGCTATAATTCTTTATGAAAATTAGAAGAACAGAATAGAATGCAATATCCTTACTATAAGTTATCAGGACCGTCCATAATATATTCCAGTAGTCATGAGTAGACCAGCTCTGAAGTCAAAGTTAGCAGAATGGACGATATTGTACGTGCATTTCTGATGAAGTGCTGGATTACTACCATTTGTATGCATCGAGCAATTTATTGTGTTGAATCATCTACATTACTCTGACGGGTCCTATGCGAAAGATATAAAACAAAATTTCGCTTTAAAAATGATTGAAGCATGCAGATTGAAGTATTCAAACGTTACACGTTAATAATTTAAAATTTTATGAAATAAAGAATTATGGCAAGTTTGGTTCGTTTCTACAGACTCCGTGACAATGAGAAAAATGTATACTATTTTTCATGACATACCAAATTACGATCCAGAGGGCAAAATGTGAGTCGTCGAATTATGAAAATTCAAAACTAAAACTTTAAATAAATTGACAAACAGATATGTTGGTGTACGACCTTACTATGGATAATCTTAGGATAATTATTGGACAGTTCAGTGTGCCTCATGAGTACAATAATCTGTCAGCTGACCCGAATATCACGTCGCTAAACTAGGTATCATAAACTCACTCAACACCAAATATTCATCCAGTACTACAGGTTAATACAAAATGTCAGTGTTCAATAGATTGTAATTAAAACTGGATAACATTTTTGGTCTGCATCCGTACAACTTGGGGTCCTAAATAATTTTAGAGCAAAGAATACTATCACAATGACAAAGCTTCTAATCTCGCTATCATGAAGCACTAGCACGTATTTCAGACATTTATCCGTAATGACAATCTGAGATTTCTGAAATATGTCTATTTAAATCAGTCTATAATAAACAGAGACCAGTGCTTTTGAAAGGCTATAAAAATGATCCTGCCAACGACGTGATTACAAATAACACTTAATTACAGAATATCAACGTTTTGTGTTACCAGTACCCCAGTTATTTATGCAACTGTTCATTAAATAAATGTCAGAATCCTGGCCCAAAATGACGGTACACAGATTAAGTAAGCACCTGTGATTTAAAGTCGTGTGCTTTAGTGAGAACGTATTAGCTAAGTGTTTACACGAAGAGGGCTATCACTATCATTGTAGAAATGTAACTAGTCGACTTTCAACAGTATAATGATACTGTGAACCATTAAAAAACCATTATTTTCGTTTCCTCACGAGGAAAGTAATAGTTCTGCGATTATTACCATTAGTAGTACACCAGATGACGGAAAAACCATTTACGACTAGGAAAGCCTCAAACGACATCGATTCAAGGCCTCAGTGATACAAAAGAAACTCAACGTATTTAACTGACCAGTAACGACGGTGACGGCGCTAACTTTTCGGCTGAACAATACTCTCGGACATTTCGACCACGCCTACATCAATTATATTGATGAAAGCTTCATCTGCATCTGCACAGGACTTTCTGAAGTGAACGTGAGCGCTGACTTGGTGTACCGGAAACTGCAGCACCTAAGAATAAACACTTCTCCTGGCCCGAATATGGTTCATTTAGCTATACTAAGGGAAGCAACTTCAATCCTGGCAACACCGCTTTGCGTGGTGTTCACATACGCGCTACGCCGAGGCAAACTACCGTAAATTTGAAAGCTGGATCACATCACATCAATTTTCAAAAGTGGTCGACGCGGCAAACCTTCAGGTTACCGACCAGTGGCCCTTTTCTATATACCTTCAAAAATTGTGGAGTCCTCGACGGTATACACGACTATTTATTATCATTAAACCTCTTTTCACCCCGACAGCATGGT